AACTATTGTTTATAACTAAGTTTTATTATTATATTGTTCTATTATAGCAAAAAGAGAATAGGTGAATATTCTATTAATATAATATTGTGTTACTGTCGGTCTCATAGACACACATATACACAATTCATCTACACATACATACTTAGATACCTACAATCTCATAATCACACACACACTCCCATCAGTCACACCCCACACTGACAGCCACAGCCGCTTCGTGGACTCACCGTGTACCAGGCACAGCTCCTCGGGAACCCTCACAACAGCCCATGAGGTGTGTGCATTTTTTATCTCTTTTCAGATGGACACACACATTCCATACATCCATACTGCATCCTGGGATCTGGACACTTCTCAACTCAATTTCCACGGTCATCTCCAGGGCAGCCCCAAGCTGGGCCCCAAGTGCTGACTGCCCTCCATCCACAGGACAAAGGCCCAACCTGACTTTCATACCAGCTGTGGTTGGGGAAACCCCTGCTGCCAGCAGAAACCAAGTTGACTTTGAAAAGGAAGAGACAAAAGCTAGGGGTGGCTGGGCCACTCCCTGTGAGGGCAGGTGCTAAGTAACTCTATAAACTCTGGCTAATGATGCAATTACAGCCATAAACAGAGCCCCAGGGGGGATCAGGGCCAGAAGCCAGACCCTCAAAGGGCAGCTAGGACTGAGGGGTGGGAGGCCCCTCCTACCTACTTTCCAGAAGAGAGACTGAAACAGGGTCCTGACTGGCAGTGGGGATGGGCACTGGGTGTCTCCACTCTCCCAGGACCCTACATGGGCTCCTGCCTGCCCTGGCCAGGCCCCTGCCCACCTCTGACTGTGAGTCACCAGGTCATCAGCCCTAGAGAGCCAGAAGTCCAGCTGGCTCTCTATGGGTCCAGTGCTCACCTGAGAAGATGTCCCCTGCCCCAAACCCTGCTCTCCTTCCAGGGGACCCAGAACCAGGAGACCTGGGTTCCCATTTGGCTACACCTCACTGAGCTGAGTTAAGGCAAAATAGCGCTGCAGCTGTAACAGGCCTGTACACTGTAAGCAGCACTGGCTCCCCTCTGGGAGAACATACAGTTGCATTCTGGTTCCTGCTCTCCTGTCCCAGCAGCCAGGAGGAGGCAGAAAGAAAGGGGCCAATGCCCTGGCCAGTTTGGCTCAGTGGTTAGAGCAACAGTCTGCGAACCAAAGAGTCTGGAGCTTGATTCCAGTCAAGGGCACACATGTGGGTTGCAGTTAGCTGCTGTTCAATCCCCGGCCCTGGTCAGGGTCATGCTGGAGGCAACCAACTGATGTGTCTCTCACATTGATGTTTCTCTCTCTCTCTCTCCCTCCTTCCCATTCTGTCTGAAAATCAATGGAAAAATATCCTCCGGTGAGGATTTAAAAAAAAGAAAGGGCCAAGTCAGCTACTATTTTTCCCACAGCTGGGGAAACCCAGGCACAGTACAAGCATACCAGCAGACTATCTGACTGGACTCTCAAGACTCAGACCCTTCCCCTTCCAGTGCCTCTACAGACACCTTTTACTATTGCTGCTGTCTCTTCCGAAGACTGTGATCTCCCAGAGGGCAGGCTAGGAACTGTCTCCCAGACACAGAGAAGGCCTCAGAGGGTCCAGGCCAAGGAGCCAAGGGCTGCATTCTGCTGGGAGCACACAGGCATCTGGTCGCTCTAGACTCTAGGGCCTAGAGGAAAACCAGGTGGAATCAGGGCAAGTGCAAGGGCCCGAGTCCACATCCCAGAGGTGTCGCGGGGGAGGGGGCCTGCACCAGCCCTGTCACCCTCCCTGCTCCACCAAGCACCCCCTCACTCGGAGGCGCGGGGGGCGGGGTGGAGGCTGGGCGGTGGTAATTAACTGATACTTCCCTAGCGAACGAACTCGAAGCCAAAACACTGCGCTCAAGTTTAGTCCAGAAACTGCCGGCGCAGAGCCGTCCCCACAACAGACGGGCGAGAAGACCATGGCTGGAGTGGGCTGGGGATCCGTCAAGGACTCGGTGGTGAGGCGCTGTCAGGGAACCGGAAGGGGGAGCCCTGGGCAGCGCGGGCACCCGCGCTCCCTCCCCCGGGGCGCGAGGCCGGGGCGCGCCAGGCGGCTGCGGCGCGAACCTGCTCTCACAACCCGAAGCAGCTCCGGGCAGCCGTGCGTGAAGCCAGAACCTGGGCGGGGAGGGGGCCGAGGGGCAGGAACCGAACTGGCATCAGCTCGCTCCCTTCCTGGAGGCAAGCGCACGCACTACGGCCGAATAGCTGTCCCGAGTAAGGGGGGGGGAGAGTGAGCGCCGACTTGGGGGGCGGGACAGCCTGGGGTTGGGCGGTGCGGACACAGGGAATAGGGGGAAGGGGGCGTGTTTTCCGGGATTCGGTACCGAGACGGGGGGGGGGCTACTCGGGGTACGGGCAGATGGCTGGGAGCTCCCGGAAAAACAGAAAGAGGGGCGCGCGGCGGGTAAGCTCTGGGGTTGGGGTTCCCTAAGGTCGTGGAATAATGCAAGGGGGAGAAAAAGACCGCGTTCAGGGATACCAGGGGACTCGAGCAGAGGCGGCTTCTTCAAGAGTCGGAGGGGGAAGAAAGGAAGGGAAGGGAGGGAGGGATGGTACTTCCACCCGTCCCCCCCCCCCCGCCCCACGCCCTCGGCAGCCCAACCCCCGGGGCGGGGCGCGGCTCCGGCCCTCCCACTCCCCCAGACCATCCCGGCAGGGCCTGGCCCGGCCGGACTCGGCCCCCGCACACCTCCCTTACCTCCGGCGCCCTCCCCCGCGCCTCCCGCCCCCACCGCGTCCGGGGGAGAAGAAGTGGGCACAGGGCCCACACGTCCCTCAAACTTCTTGCAAGTTCACTCCCACGCCTCCCGCCCCATCAGTCTCCCAGCTCCCGGGCCGGGAAGGCCCGTGCCCGCCCCGGCCCCTCCCGCCTGGTTACATAAGGTCGCAAAGAAGCCGCCCCCGGCCCGGGCCCGAAGGGAGGGGCCGCGCGGGTTCTCGGGATCGGCGGGCAACGCCGCTCGGGCCATGTGCCGGGCGTCCCGGGCTAGACGGACAGCGGGGCCGGCGGCGACGCGGCGCGGCGCACACGGTCTCACTCCCCTCTCCAGCCCGTACCCCCACCCACCCACCTGTCTCCCGGACCCACGGGAGGGGGGTGAAGGAGTCTGGGCCGAGGGTTCCGAGCCCTCCGCGCACCCCTTGCCTCCCGGCCCCGCTCACCTAGCTCTGAAGGTCAATCCGTCCGCCGCCCGCGCCCCGGGGCTCCGGCAACTTGTCCCAAGTTCAGGTGTCCGGCCCGCAAGCTGCGCCTGCCGCCCCCTCCCGAGTTCCTCCGGCTCGGCGCCGCCAGGGAGGCCCCCCCGTCCGCCCTTCCCGCTGCCGTCGGCGGCGCCGCCGCTCCCTACGTCTAGCCAGCGGCCGCCGCCTCCGCTGTCACCGAGCCCCGCGCCCGGCGCCCCAGCTCCCGCTGTCACTCCGTACCCACTTCCCGCGGCGCCCGGCAGAGGGCAGCACCCGCCCCCGCGGCCCCGCCCCGCCCCGCCCCCCGTCGGCCTGCCGCGGCGCCCGCTGGGAAACGTAGTCTTCGCGGCCGCACTAGCAGGCACGCCGGGGTTTGTAGTCCCGTTCTGTGGGCCCAAGGCTGTAAAACGGGGGCTTGGCGTTTAACCTGGAACCTTTGTTCCACTTCGTTTCTGCCCCTTTTGCAAGTTTTCTTTCTCTTCTCAGTCAGTGATGTCCCAAACCGGAGTTCATCACTATACACCCTGCAGCCTGTCTGACCCCAAGGAGAGGCACGCAGCAGGTTGTCTTTCCCAGGTTGGAAAAGACACAGGGTCCCAGGTGGTGTGCCGTTGCCATAGAAACTCCTGGGCGGCCACCAGAGTTTGCCATCTGACTTGCAGTGGGGTGATGGGCCTACGCTTTCACCCCTGCTCCTGAGCATAAGGGGCAAGGTTGGGATCAGCCTGGCGAAGGACAGGATAAAAGAAATGTTACTGTGGATTGGAGCCCACCTCTCCTCCCGTTATGAATTTTGCATTTATAGCCAGTCCCTTCCCACCTAAGTCTCATCGGTCTGAGCTTTCTGGTACCCCCACCACTATCAACATCAGAAGTGTTCTGATCTTTCATGTCACTTTCCCCGTTTGAAGTTACAGATACTGAGCATCATTCTCTGCTTCCATCTCCTCCCCCTCCCCTCTCCCTTGTTCCCTCCCCCTCTTCCTTCTCCTCCTCCCCCTCCCCCTCTTCCTTCTCCCCTTCCCCTCCCCCTCTTCCTTCTCCTCTTCCTCCCTCTGGGTCTTGCTAGGTGGCTCCTAGGGAGGACAGGGATGAATCCAGAGGGACAAGACCTCTTGTTCAGTTCGTTAGAGCAAGTAGGCTTGATTTCCATGTGATTCAAGTAGTTCTCCCTCTTGTCCACTGTTGAGGGCCAGCCCTTCCTCAAACACAGGCCCAGGGACATAGTGTCTGGGTGAAAATATGATCCGCTTAGCTCTGCTCAGACCTTCGAAGCCCTCCTAGAGTAGGTTCTGGTGGCATCCGTCTCCTCCCTGGGGGGCCCCGGACTGTTACAGTGCATGTAGGCATCCTAGGCATCTGCATGCCTCAGGCAGCTCCTGGTGCAAACTTGATCCCAGGTAGGAGGTGGGCTTGGGATTCATTGGACCCCCTAGCCACACTGCTAGTGGACATGCGTGGGATACTTCTGGTGGTAGTTCGGTTAGTTAGGTCAGCAGAGCATGTTGGGTTGGCAGAGTAGGGCCTCTTTCCCTTCATTAAGGAATGCCCTGCCTTGCTGCCGCCACCACTGCTTCCCTCTCCAGAGAGAAGCTGTGCAGGTACAGGGCCCATCCCCATAGCCCGATTTCTCTTAGAATCTCAGTGACCCACCCAGAAGCCTCGAAGCAACTAAGGGACAACATGATTCAGCAAAAGCAAATTTGCCCCTGACTCTCACTCCCCGTTCCTTGAGACCTGGTCACAGCTGCCCCCTCAAAACAAAGGCCGACCAACGTGGAGAAGAACTATTTATTAAGAGAAGAAGTCCAGAGTCCAGAAAAGGGAGGCTGAATCCAGAGCAGAAGCAGAGGGAAGCCCCTGCAAGGTGGGGGCCTGAGAGGAAGAGGGGAGCCCAGGCATCCGGGCGCTGAGTCTAGACGGCAGTGGCGAAGCCCACCCTGTTGTTGCCCATGTCATAGACGGAATAGTAGGACCTGAGGAAGACATCCCCGAGGATCCACAGGGGCTGGCCATTCTGGGAGGGCAGGTAGGTGGGCTCGACCCCCAAGGTGCAGTAGCCATTGTTCTGCGTAAGACAGAAGTGCAGCATACTCAGTTCATTCACACAGGGACAGGGCACAAGTGCAGAGATGAGTGAGCCAGGGTCTCTGCCCTTGAGGGCTCCAGCCAACCGAGCTGCCAGGGCAGAGGTCAATGGAGAAACTTCTGGAATGGGGCCCTCCGCAGGGACTCCTCTCTTCATGCCCCCCCCCCCTCACCCCCACCTACCTCCTGCTCCCAGATCCGCCTGGTGGTCAAGTATTTGAGACAGACCAACTTGGATCCAAACCTTAGTTTCACCCAGACTAGCTGTGTAGCCTTGGGTGAGTTATCTAACCTCTCTGAACCTTCTAGTGTTCCCTTGTCAAATAGAAATCAGTATCTCCCCGTTGAATGTTGTGTCAGTGAAGTGGGACAGTGCTTCTTACAGTGGCTGACCTGGTAGGTGTGCACCGAAGAGCCCAGTGCCTCTCCCACTAATTAATGATAATAATTAATAGTAGATGATACTCTTCACAGAGAAGGGGGTTTAGAATCAATGAGTGAGGAAACTAAATCCGTGCTACAGGGAGTCAGGAAGTGTCACAGGGTAAGGAGACCGAGCACGTCTGGCTCCCCACGCCTTCCTCCCACCCCATGTCCCTGCTGGCTCAGCTGCGGGGACCAGCACTTACGCTGAGGACGTAGGAGGAAGGCGGCAGGGGGAACTGCACCCCGTTGATGATGAAGCTGAAGGTGGGCAGATTCTGGATGCTGTTACAGTTCACAAAAAACTGCAGAGAGAGGAGCAGGGCCCATGTAGTTTCACCCCCGTCACCCCCCCGAGAGCACCTACCAACCTGTCACCTCAGCCCCCTGGTCCCAGGCCTGAGTCCCCAGCCTGCTTTTGGACCGGAGGTGGCAACGTGAAGCAAAAGGCTGTCAGTACTGCTGGCATCACTCATGTGGGCTCCCACGTGGGGGTGGGATTGGGGGAGACCTGAGCACCTCTCCCACCCCAAAACATTACTTTGGCCTGAATTTCCCCACGTGACAGATTGAATCTGTGCCAATCTCTGCAACTTTCTTTTGAAAACACACAGTCTGTCGAAAGAGTAGACCATCGGTCCCCCAAAGGTAGTGGGAATGCATTACTTAGGCAAACCCTTTGCTGGGCTCCAGAGAGAAGGGGAGCGGGGGGCTTGGCCCTATGGAGGTGAGGGACCTGTGGATTAAAGAGTTACCCTTGCCCTGGACAGTTTGCTCAGTGGTTAGAGCATCGGCCCGTGAACTAAAGAGCCACGGGTTTGATTCCGGTCAAGGGCAGGTACCTTGGTTGCAGTTCAGTCCTGGTCAGGGTTGTGCGGGAGGCAGCCAGTCCATGTTTCTCTCTCTCCCCCCGCCCCCCGCTCCCTCCCACTCTTTCTGAAGATAAATGGAAAAAAATGTCCTCTGGTGAGGATTTTAAAAAAAAAGTTATCCCTTGCCCTGTCTCGGTTAGTTGGAGCATCATTCCACACACCAAAAGGTTGTGGGTTCGATTTCTGGTCAGGGCACACACAGGAGGCAACCGATCGATATTTCTCTTCTCTATCACATCAGTGTTTCTCTCCCCCCCCCCCACTCCATCTGAAGATAAATGGAAAAATGTGCTTGGGTGAGGATTTTTTAAAAAATAAAATAAATTTTTTTTTTAATTTCTCCCTTGTCACGCACCATCACGGCCCCACTTCCCAGTCACTTCCCAGTCCAGCTAGCCTTCAACCTGCCTCCTCTGAGGAGCTGAGGCTCCGAAGAAATTCTGCCTCGGAGGAACCTCCTCACAGCTCCTCGGCACCAGCATCTGCCCCCCCAAATCAGGCTCCAGGCCCCCGCCCCACTCATCCCAGAGCCCCCACCTCCAGCGCCTTGGGAAGCTCACAGTGTGGAGGCCAAGACTCGGGCTACTGCTGGACCCCAGGAGAAACCACCATGACTGTCTCCCGGCCGGCCTCTGGGGGGGGGGACACCTGCATCAGACACACCTGTCCGTACTGGTCCTCCTGGGCTCCTGTGGCCTGCAGAAGGTCGCTCAGGTACTGCTGGGGCACGGTGAGCAGAGACGTGCCTGTGTCCACAATGGCCTGGCAGCCCTGGGCGCACCAGCCGGAGGCCTGGCCACCAATGAGGAACCTGAATGGTGAGGAGGTACGTGGGCTGAGCACCCCCAGCTCAGGGCAGCTAGGGGTACGCTTCCACGTCTCCGAGGGACTAACAGCCTCTACCACAGAGGTGCCACTTGGGAAGGTCAGTCCAGTCATCCCCCCCGCCATCCTCCCCCCCCCCCCACTCCCCCACCCCCCCACCCTCGCCTCACACCGCACCAGGGCAGCACGTCAGGGTCTAAAATGTTTGGGATTGCAAATCCTGCCCCTTCCTATTGTCCCCATCCCACCCCCTTCTCCAGGCCAAGCTGGGCCTTGAAACTCCAGCAGCGGGCAGCTGTGGCTTCGTGGGGGTGGGCCTGAGGGCGTGGGGGGTCCTCTGTCCCCACCCCCAGCAGTGTGTGTGAGAGAGAGAGAGAGAGATGAAATGCCTCAGAGCCGGGCCCACACCCCAGGACCTGGCCACAGACTTACTCCTCAATGCCAATCTGCCAGTAGAGCTCCTGCGTGACCGGGGCCCAGTAGATCTGCCCCTGGTACAGGCTGTTGTCCACGCCCCCGAAGATGACTGCTCCTCCGTCCTGAGAGCCTTGCTGGCTGCAGGCAAAGGGACAGGTGAGCCGGGAGAGGCCATGGGAAAGGGCTTCCCTGTCAGAGGGTCCTGCCTGGCTCCAGGCTGGGGCTCCCCAGGGCAGGACTGGGGCTCCCTGAGGACAGGGCCATGTCTCCGGGCTCCCTCAGAATTCCCAGTGCCTCGGGCTCCTGCATGATTTTGCCTCACAAAGTCCTGCCTCCAGGACAGCCGCTGGTGTGTGACCCTCCAGCCTGCCCGGTGTCCTCTCCCTTCCCCTTCATGATGCTGGACAGCCTGACCCGGCCCCGTTTGCTACTTTGTGCCGGGATTGGAGGGAGGGAGCCCCAGAGGAGGGGAAGGGAAGACTCCGGTTTGTTTGAGAGGCCTCCCCTGGTAGCTGAACTTGAGTGTGGAACTGGGGGAAGCTCCTAAGGGCTAAGCTCAGAGTAATTGTAAACAGAGGTAGCAAGTAAATCAGCAACATTAGTAACAGGGTCATGTTGAAAGTCCAATTCCAGTGATTAAACCCAAGATGGTTAGAAATTCTGAGGGGAAGGAAATCCCGTTCCAGGCCTGGCTCCCAGAGTGTGTGCTTGAGTTTGTGGTGAGGACAGCCACTCACTAGGAGGCCATGGTGGGCCTAGGCCAGCACCCGGGCCTGGCTGGACAGTAGATCAAAGGGGGTGAAGCAGTACATCACTGTACAAAAGAACTGTCCAGGTAGTGAACCTCGGTGGCCAGGAGATGAGCTACCCGGGCTCTGGGCAGCAGGTAAAAACCCCAGAGCTACTGAGAATCAAAGCACAGCTCGGCCGGAGACAGATGCTGTCCTGGCCCAGGAATGCAAAGCAAAGGGGTGGGCTGGGGACAGAGGCAGGGATGGGGAGAGGGGAGAAGTCAGAGTCCAGGAGGAAAGGCCCTGGGACAGAAGTGGCCGAGTGCCTGCTGCGAGGCCTCCGTATCCCCAAGGACGGAGCCTCGGCTGTCCAAGCTGCAGGGAGGCGGGGCTGGGCGCCGCGGGCCCCCAGGCTGTTCCTTACTTGCTGAGGTAGAAGCTGAAGACGGGGCTGGTGAGGGCGCCCTCCTGCAGCATGCCCTGCAGGGCTGTGGTGGCCCCGCCCACGGCCAGGGCCGGGTAGGCCATGCCCAGGATGCCATCGAACTGCGCGTAGACGAAATTGGTGCCCGGCTCGTTCTCACTCAGGCCAAACTCCTGGTTGGGGACCTGGATGCTCTGGAGCTGGAGGGGGCACAGAGGATGTGACATGTGTAACCACCCTCCTCCCCGAGACCCCCTCCAGGCTCGTTCTTCATCCCTCCTTCACCTGTCCTCCTTCCCTCCTGAGTGGCCTTGCCCGACTGCAGGACCCCCACCCGGGACCAGTCACCCCATTCATCTTGGTGTCCTGCACCTGCCGGCCTCAGTGAGGGTTCAGTGAGTGAGCGGATGAGGCCTTAGCGTGCTGATTTCCTGTCCTGCACAGCAGAGCACGAGGTGTTTTCTGTATTTGTCGGGGTCCCCACCTAAACCTCCCGATTAGACTGAGGCGTGAGAGGGCGGAGCCCAGGCCCTGGGGTGCGGAGCCCCACTGCTCACCGTCAGGGTGTCGTAGCCGAAGAAGCCGGTGAGGCTGCCGCTGCCGTACTGCAGGGAGAAGGTCTGCCCGTTGGTGGAGTAGGTGGAGGACTGGCTGGGGTTGAAGCGGCTGTGGCCGGCTGCCGGGCAGGGAGGTGCGGGGGTCAGGCTGGCACGCGAGCTGCCCTGACTCAGGCCTGTGCTCACGGCCTGGGGCCTCAGCGCACCCTTCCACCCATCGGGAGAGGCCTGCCGGGTTCCCGCACCTGAAGGCCCATGGGAGCTGGCCGAGCTTGGCCACAGCCCCCTCTGACTTGCAGACTCAGGGCAGCCCGAGGACTATGACCTCCCCGCGGTCTCCCTGGCCCGCAGATCTCAGGCACAGCGAGTGCTGAGAAATCATTTATCAGATGAAGGCGTGAATGACTCCAGGTGTCCCTGCTTCCCCTGACCCCCGCCAGCGGGCCAGACCAGCATTCTGCAGCACAGGGCCAGTGGAGGACCCTCCAAGCTGCAGGTGTGAGGACCCAAACCCCGAGGCTCTGGCAGAGACCGGGGCAGCCTTAAGAAAGTGAACAGAGACCACATCGTCTGTGGTTCTCCCATGTGCCTCGGAGACACTCAGCGAGAACTGAGTAGAGAATGAGCGGAGTGGCGCTGGAGCCCATGAAGGAGTTGGTGTTGGTGAGCGGGGAAGGCAGAGGCACCAGTCAGCTCCAGGACCAGCTTCTTTCCTCTGGCCTGGGCATGCCATGTGACCCTGGCTCAGTCCCTGGTCCTCTCCAGGACCGTGCTCCCCCAGCAATCCCTGTGACGACTACCCTTCCCCAGGGGCATCAGCGCCCTCCCCTGCCCAGCCCAGCACTCACTGCAGGCCTGGCTCTGGCAGTACACAGAGGGCACCCACAGGTTGGAAGAGCCAGTGTCAAAAAGGACCAGGAAGTTCTGTGGTGGGGTCCCGATGCTGATCTCACCGAAGTAGGCAGCCTGGGCGGGGGAGGGGGAGCAGGCTGTTAGCTCTAGGGAACCAGGAACCGGCAGGCCCAGCATCCTTCATCGACAGAGCAGAGTGGGGACCAGCCCCTGTCCTACAGCCTGCACCAGAAGCAGGGGCCTGAGCCTTCCCTCTGCACCTGCCCAGAGCCCGCGGACCCTCAGCCGTGCCTGCCCAGGTGGCTGCAGAGGTCTCTGTGGCTGACCTCCCATGCTCTGCCTGGGAATGAGGTCCAGGCTGGCAGGTTTGGGAGAAGGGAGCAGGGGTGGGCGGCAGAGAGGAGGCCTGCAGCTCGCTGGCCCTGCCTTTGGCAGCAGGGAGAGAGCTGCCCCGGGAGGCTCCGGACTCACATCCATGTAATCCATGGGCTCGTAGTCCACGCTGAAGTCGTTGAAGTGGTACTTCTGAGCAGGGTCGTGCTTGTGGTTCATCAGGAACTCCTCCAGTAAGCCCTTCTCCTTCATGGTTTCACGGATGGACTTGAACTTCTTCAGGGAGATTCTGCAGAAGGGCCGTGCGTCAGGCAGGGTCCTCCCTCTCTCCTGCAGCGCCTCCAACCAATCTCCCCACCCCCGCCTCTCCATCTCTGACTGTGTACCTCAGTCTCTCTGGACCCCTGTGTCTATTGCTGTGTCCACTGTTTTCCCCTTTTTCAATCTCTGTTTCTCTCTGTCTCTTTTTCTTTGTCTGTCTCTCTGTCTCCTTCTCCCTTTGCCTCTCTCTCTCTTTCTTCCCCTCTCCTTCCCTTTCTTTCAAAACTCTTCTCAGGCCCTGGCCGGTTTGGCTCAGCGGTTAGAGCGTCTGCCTGCGGTCCGGAGAGACCCGGGTTCGGTTCCCGCTAGGGGCATGTACCTCGGTTGCAGTTTGTCCCCGGCCCTGGTTGGTCGTGCGGGTGGCAGCCACTCGATGTGTCCCTTTCACATCGATGTTTCCCTCTCTCTCTCTCTTCCTCTCTCTCCCTCCCACTCTGTCTGTGTAAAAAATGGAAAAATGTCCTCGGGTAAGGATAAAAAAAAAAAAAAAAAATCAAAACTCTTCTCAGGACTTGCTTCAAGATTCAGGAAACAGTGACCTTCACCCATGATGCTCCCTCCCCATCCCAAGGGTCCTCATCCCACCCGGCCCTCTGCTATAAACAGCCCAGAAAGTCCTTCCCAGGGAGGGGAGAGGGGCTTCAGGCTTTACCCCTCCCAGGGCATGTGCATTTTAAAAGATTAAGAGATGGCAAACTTCACCCCAAAGAGAGTCCCCTCCTAGGGTGGCCCTCAGGCCCCAGCAGCAGCTGAATGTGACAGATTGTGTGTGCCTGGGCACTAGGCTGGGACTGAGAGGACAAGGTCCTGGTGACGCCCCTGCTGCTCTGCGTCTGGCCCGGGGCTCTTCTCAATGCGGGGACAATGGGGAAACCGCCTGTCTGCGGGGCCACCCCAGCCGCCGTATGCCTGTTCTTTCACTTCCCCCCTCAATCCCCTTTCCCTCAGGACCCTGCATTCTCCAGAAATTCTTTGCTGAACCGGTTCACATGGAGCTGGTCACTTTGAGCTGATAGCGTCTCTAACCACCTCTACATAATTTGCATATTAAAAGAAGATTGTAGCCCTGACTGATTTGGCTCAGCGGTTGGAACGCTGGCCTCAAGGACCAAAGAGTCGCAGGTTCGATTCCGGTCAAGACCACGTACCTCGGGTGCGGTTCATCCCCAGCCCCGGTTGGGGTCGAGTGGGAGGCAACCAATCAATGTGTCTCTCTCATATCTATATTTCCCTCTCTTTCTCTTCCCCTCCCATTCTATCTGAAGATAAATGGAAAAATATCCTCAGATGAGGATTAAAAAAAAAGAAGATTGGCACCCTGGCCAGTTTGGCTCAGCAGTTAGAGCGTCGGCCCGCCGACCAGAGTTGTGGGTTCAATTGCAGCCAAGGGCATGTCCCTCAGTTGCGGTTTGTCCCCGGCCCTGGTCAGTTGTGCAGAAGGCAACCAGTCGGTGTGTCCCTCTCACTTCAATGTTTCTCTCTCTCTCTCCCTCCCCTCCCCACTCTATCTGAAGATAAATGGAAAAATATCCTCAGGTGAGGATTAAAAGCAAACAAACAGCCCTGGCCGGTTTGGCTCAGTGGTTAGAGCGTTGGGCTGCGGTCCAGAGAGACCCGTGTTCGGTTCCCGCTAAGGGCACGTACCTCTGTTGTGGTTTGTCCCCAGCCACTCAATATGTCCCTTTCGCGTCGATGTTTCTCTCTCTCTCTCTCTCTCTCTCTCCCCCCCTCCCTCCCTCCCTCCTGCTCTATCTGAACAAAAAATGAAAAAATGTCCTCGGGTGAGAATAAAAAACAAACAAACAAACAAAAGAAGATTGGAGGAGGAGCTTTCTTTTCACCTCCAGATTCTCTGTGAGGGTGTGGCTGGCCCCGCCCCGTGATGTCCAGAGAGCCCCGCCCCTCACTCTCTTCTCCGGACACCTCAGCATATAGAGGTTACATGACTGATGACTGTGTCCTCTGCCCAGAAAGCCTGGGTTAAGGAAGTGTTCGGCGTGGGTCTCCCTGTGCAGGGATGATTGCTCCTTCCTGTGAGAGGAGCCACCCGCAGCCTGCTCAGACGGTCGTCACCCCTCTGCTGGGTGTCAGCCACCTTTTCTCCCTTGCACCGGGAGCTTCCTGAGGGCGAGGCTGTGTGTCCTCCCCTGTGATTCCTACCCTGCCCCTAGCAGAAATTCTGGACCAGAGGCAAGCCGGGTGTCCCTGGCCGGGCCAGGCCCAAACTCACTTGACCACTTTCGCCTCCAGGAGCTGGAGGCAGAGCAGGGCCACCACCATCCACTTCATGATGCCGGTTCCCACGGGCCGCGAGCAAACGCCACTCCGAGCTGGGCACTTGCGGTCCAGTGCTGGCCTGAGCCCTCCTTCGTCCTTTATACCCCCCGGGATCCAGGACAGTCCCCGGGCAAACATGACCTCAACCCCCAGGTGTGCCCCGTGCTCCCTGTATCAACGGTTTCTGTGTTTTCCCTGGCAAAGGTGGCCGCACAGGACTTTTCATCTTATTGACTTTTTAATGCGAGTGCGGGGGTCAGGAGGTGTGGCGATAAGAGAGAACAGAGTTGGAGTGGCAGAGATTACGACCTGTCCAGGACCAGAGGCGTGATGTGGGCACTTGGGGATGCGGGCCAGAGACAGGCAGAGCCCGTGGTGGCCGTGGGATCGAAGGTGCATTTCTCACCCCCAGTACTATGGACATTTTGGAACAGATAATTCCTTGTTGTGGGCACTGCCCTGTGCGTTGTAGGACATTGAGCAGCATCCCTGGCCTCTGCCCACTAGATGCCGGCAGTAGTCCCTCAACATGTCCCCAGCCATTGCCACGTCTCCTTAGGGGCCAAAATGATCGAGAACTGGTGGTTTACAGGTGGTAGACTTGGAGGCCTGACTCAAGTCCTGCTTCCCATCACCGCCAAGCCCTCAGGGCTGCATTAGGGGGGCCTGGGGGTGATGGGGTCAGTGACAGGATTGCGGTAATGGCAGTGGTGGGGGGAGTGGTCCCAATGGGAATGACGGCGGTACCGTTAGCACTGATGCAGGGGCCGGGCCGGGATGCCAATGGCCGAAGTCAGAGCTCTTTGGGGCAGTTTGGAGGCTTTCAAGGTCAAATGGGGCATTTGGAGAAATTCTCTTCATAATTCAGCAAGTTCTCATGAACTGGCTTCTGGTCGCGCCTCGAGCTGGTCTGGAACACCAGGAGGCCGGGGCACAGACGGGACTTGCCTGCTCCTGCTTTTCCATGACTCTCTTCCCAGCCCCAATGCGCCTCCACCGCGTTTACTTCTCCTGAAATGCCCGTGTCCCCGTGACCCTCCTCCCAAGCCCTTGTCGGCCCCTCTACCTCCCTCAGGTCGGCTCTACCCTGTGCCCTGTCCCTCATCTCCAGGTCCTACCCGCTTCCCAGCCACACACTTGCTCTTGCCTTAGGTGACCTGGAGCTGGCCCGCGCCCATTAACCTGGCACAGGAGGGCTCCCCATTTGGGGGTGAGTGGAGAAAACTTCCCATGCCAGGACCCTCTCTGCCACCTGGTACCCCACACTCAGGGCTCCAAACAGATGTGTTAGGCCCTCGAGCCCCGGGCAGAAGGCCAAGACCAGGCCTGCCAAACACCAGTATAACCCAGCCAGTGGGGGATTTTCCACTCTGGCCACCACCACCCACTGCTCAGCCAGAGCCTGGAGCCTCCCCTAGCGCTATGGTGGCAGAGGGAAGGGGTGGGGTGGGAGGGACACGGAGGTCTGCCCAGGCCTGCCCTGCTTGGGTCTCAAGGCCAGATCAGCTCCCATCCCTCCCGTAGGCCCCGGGCACACGCTGCCCTCGGGGGGTGAATGTCTTTCTTGGGGTAGGGGTCTGCGGATTTGGAAGAGCAGACAAAAGGAAGTCAGAGGATCCCTGGAATCGTGCCAATTGCTCTGAATATAGCAGAATCCATGGGATCCCCCAAGTCTTGCCAGGCCTACCAGGCTCCCCAGCATGGGCCTCCAGGGACCTTTCCTTCTCTGCTAGAGCCCCAGGAGTCTGACGGCTGCCAGGGTGACCTGCCCCAAACCTCAGTGGCACCACATCTCTACTGCAGCAGGCCGGGGCATCCCACCTGGCTGCCGGGCCTGGGGGTCTGCAGCCCCTGCCTACCCCACCTGATCTGACAGCTCAGTGTCCTCAGCATCCCCAGACATCCCGAACCCGGCCTGCCCCGGCCTGCTGCACCCACTTCCCTCCTTCCCTTTGAATGTGTCCAAACTCTGCCCATCCCTCGAGGCCTCACCTCCTAGAGCCAGGGATGTGCAGGGTCTGAGGACACCTTGGAAGTCATCCAGGGCCACCCCCTCCAAGGACAGGAGCCCCAAGGAGCCTGACACACTGTTCCCGCCCAAGTTCATCTGCTACCCCTAAACACTGCGCACCCAGCTGTGCTCTCTCCTTGGGGCTGGATCACACGGTCCCTGATCAGTCTCCAGTGCTTTCCTGGGTATGTTTGCTCTCCCCACAAACAAAGCTCCTGGAGGGCAGAGGCTGTGGCTCCCACCTCCCTGTGCTGGCCCCAAGCTCAGGAAATCCTGAACAGTGGGTGCAGCCCATGAGATAGTTCCCAGTGGACCTTGGCTATATGTCCCACACCCCATTGTCCCAGTGCTCGGATTCACCCCACACCCCAAAGGATCTTGTTAAAGTCCAGGCCCTGGGACCCTCTCGTAGTGATAGTCTCCCAGGAAAGAGGCAGTTTCTCATCACCCTCTGGTTTCATCTCCCTTTAAGTACCACCTGCCTCAAAACTCATCAGAGGCCTCCCCATGGCTAAGCAAAATTCAAACGCATCACCCTGGCCTTCACGACATGCTCAGTCTGGCCCCTCCTGTTTCCATTCTCATCGTGCACTAGAAATACTCATAGTGACCTCCTTGCTTCCTCCTGAGGGCGCCTGTTATTTTCCAGCCTCCATGTCTTCAGCCGTGCCGTGCTCTCCATTGGAACACCCTTCCCAAGCATCTCTGCCTGCGAGGTCTTCTCGTCCTGCAAGACCTACTGCAAATGTCAGAGTCCTCTCCACTGCGCCCACCTACACTCAAACTGGCCCCGATGGTGGAGGACATTGCTTTTCCTCCCCTTGTGGTATCTATTCCATACCATCTTATATCCCACTAACTTGCCCCAAATTCTACCACTTGTAACTGAAAGAATAGGTCTCTTCTTGCACATGGCTCCTTAAACAGCTCATTCATCTTTCAGAGCATCGATAAAAGTGACATTGGTTGCTGGGAATGTCTCAAGAAGAGATGGCAACTATGTAGCATGCACACTGCCACTGCTAATCCTGCACCGTGGCAAACATCACTAATCACATTCCCATAGTGCTGAGACATGGCCTTAGGGTCCTTCCCCATCTAGTGCTCCATGCAGACATTCTCAATCAATCTTGAAACGACAATCCCCAAGCCCTTTAATGGAGGGTTTTTTATTCCTCACCCGAGGATATTTTTCCACTTATTATCAGATAGAGTGAGAGGGAGGAAAAGAGAGAGAGAGAAACATCGATGTGAGAAGGACACATCGACTGGTTGCCTCCCGCACGACCAGACCAGGGCTGGGGATGAACTGCAACAGAGGTCCGTGCCCTTGACCTAAATCGAACCCGCAATTCATTGGTCTGCAGGCCGATGCTCTAACCGCTGAGCCAAACCAAGCAGGGCATAATGGTTTTAAAAAAATTCTTCATTCTAAATTTTATTTAGACTTGTATACATATACCACTTTTTTAAAAACCAAAGCAACTTGAAACTAGAAGTATTTGTACTATTTGAAATTATCTTCTAGTTCTTACTGTGCACACTTTGGTTTTAACATAGCTGTAATCAGTGTGTAAATGCTCTTGTCACTTAAGATTACGACATATACATTTCCATGCATTAAGATAAGCCACACCTTATCACTTGCAGTGGCTGTACAGTGCTCTATCATCCTGGCAGCTAGGATTACTTAACCCTGTTCATTTGGGTTAATTCCAATTTCTCATTGCTGTCAATATCACTGGGCTCACAATCTAAAAAGCATCCAAAGGAAGAGAGTAGTGAGCTCCTCACTATCAGAGTCATTCAAGCAGAGGCTAGAGGAGCACCTTCTGAGGAATATTGGTAGCGAGGTCTCTTGCAGGAGGTGTAAGATTGAGCCAATGATCTGAGTGTCTCTGTGTTTTCTAACCCTGACATAAGCTCACAGAGCTAAGAAACCTCAGCTCTGGTGCCAGGTACTCTATAAACCTTACGTCTTTGGCAGCTGCCTACATGAACTTTAGTTAACAGCTTCAGCTATTATCTCGGCTTTATAGTTTTTTCCTGGAATTTTGTATGTGCTTTATACTTCCATCAAACCTATGGGGGACGTACTGGACCTGATTTTTTTCCAAGTTCAACGATTTATGCTTTTTCTTTATCTTTACTTTGATATCATTTTCAACTTATAGAAAAGTTGCAAACATAGTGCAGAGAGTTCTCACATACCTTTCATCCAGAATCCCCTCATGTTAGCATCTTCCGTCATAACCATAGTACAATGATGGAGCAAACCCAGGAAATTAACCCTGATCTAATACCAATAACCAATCTATGGACCTTATTTGAATTTCAGCAGTTTTTCCACTAATGTTCCTTTTCTGATTCAGAATCCAATCTAGGTTCCCATGTTGCTTTTAGTTTTTTGTGTCTTCTTAGTCTTGTCCAATCCGTGACAGTTTCTTTTTTTAACTCCTCACTTGAGGATATTTTTCTATTTATCATCAGATAGAATGGGAGGGACAGAGAGAGAGAGAGAGCGAGCGAGCGAGCGAGAGAGAGAGAGAGACAGAGACAGAGACAGAGAAACATTAATGTGATAGAGCCACATCAACTGGTTGTCTCCTGCACAACGCAACCAGGGCTGGGGACAAACTGCATCCGAGGTACATGCTTTTGGTTGGAATCAAACCCGCAACTCATTGGTCCACGGGCCGACGCTCTAACCGCTGAGCCAAACTGGCCAGGGCCAATCTGTGACAGTTTCTTAGTTTTTCTTAGTCTTTTATGACCTTGCTACTTCTAAAGAGTTATTTTGTAGAATGTCCCTCAGTTTAGGTTTTCTTTTTCGATTATTTTTGAGAGTATGTTTATTAACGCTGGGCCCAGTGAAACAAGGGAGGGCTTAGCATAGAAGCAGCAAAGGGGAGAGACAGCAGGGCTGTTAGCTTACTGCAGAGCCAGAGAAAAGGAGGCCTGAAAAGGTTCAGGGGATGAGTTGAGGATGAGCTGCCACTGCCCATTGCT